TCTAGGGTGCATAGTAGGACTCATCTAGCAAATTTTGAGCTTCATACAATATCTGTAGCACTTTTAGCAGCTGGTTTTTTGTATCAAGCTTAGGCTGAGATGAAAAACAGGGGAAAAAAAATTCTATTAGAATTGTGTTCTGATGATTTCCTATGGGATCTAGGGTGTATATGACTCACCTGGAAAATTTTGAGCTTCATACAATATCTGTAGCACTTTTAGCAGCTGGTTTTTTATATCAAGCTTAGGCTGACAGGGAAATAATTCAACAGGAGAAAAAATTCTGTTATAATTGTGTTTTGATGATTTCTTATGGGATCTTGGGTGCACAGGACTCTCCTCCCAAAGTTTAAGCTTCATATAATATCTGTAGGATGATTCTTCAGCATGAGGTAAGTTATTAGTTAGTAATCAAGTTAACTGGCACTATTAATCATATGAGCCTGCAAATACTTAATTATCCACCCAGCTATACTAAACCTTGCTGGCTTGCTCTTATAAAGTTCAATCAGATCAGACTCAATCAAAAATTTTAATTAACATCAAGAATAAATTCATGGAAATCAAACTAACAGACTTAGAGCAAAATTCAATATATACATATATATTTATATTCAATATTCAAACCTGCTTCTTGTTTCCCTTGTGGCTAGAGCTCCTTGTGACTCTCCTAACAGGTCCTACAAGAGGGTCTACACCAGCTTCTGTCTCTTCACTACTAGCACCATTAGCACCATTGATACCTATGCCCCTCTGCTTTACAGGGCTTGCCAACTTGACATGTTTCAGTGATCCTTTCTGAAGAGTCCTAGATAAACCAGCAGGTATGGATGCCTTCAATGGTCTCTTGACCCTACCATTTCCAACCTTGATTTCTGCTCATCATCCAACCAAAGGCTGTATTAGAGATATGCTCCAGACTCCAAGTTGTATCAGTGAAAACTTTGAAACTGTACAATCCAAGTGTGGATTCATTAATTGAATTCCTGAAGTCAACAATGCCAGAGTAAATTTCCTAAATTCAAGGTTGTTAGAAAAAAAATCATTGAAGCTGCAAGCACTAAATAAAACATTACTTACTTCATGGTCTCTCCAGCTAGGGGGCAGGCGGCATGTAAAAGGTGAATACATAGAGAAAGTAGCATCTGAAGAATTTTTGTATTTCATAATCTTATGCACATAGTTCTTCATGCGCACACCATTCTTTCCTTTTCTGACAGTTGGTGGTGGTGCATATAGACTGGCTCGTGAAGGAAGTGTAGCAAGAGGAACTGATAAACAGCCATTAACCAGAGATTTATTTGAAATGGGAGAATGCTCACCTTTTGCTACCCCAGTTTCATCAAGAATCAGTGTTCTCATTAAGCCCTAAGTCTTAACTTAACCTAAGACTTAATATACCCTTAAGCCTAACCCTTAGCTTGAATCAGTAAAAGTCCTAAGTCTTAATTAAGGGCGCTTAGCAAAATTCACGTGATAACTCCGTGGGTGCAGGGGCGTCAAAATCTCTTTACAAGCTGACTTTGGCTGACTTTGGAAAAATATAGAATGAATAATACAAAAAAAAAACTCTGAAAATTGGACAAAGAATCATTGCCACTTTCTGATTCTTTAGACATGATGCATGATTAAGAAATTGGTTGAAACAGCACATTATTTGGATGAGGCACCCAATAAAAGTGAGCTTGAGAGCTCTGGGGTAATTACATGGAGTAGTATAGATCTTTTGGTGGTACCGTAATGCCTGAAGTGGTAATTTTTTGTAATTTTTTGCACCCTTAATTAACCCTTAAATAGCACACTTAAATTGCCCTTAATAAGGTTTAAGACCTTAGGATCAAAAAATTCCCTTAATAACCCCTTAGGTGAAAACACTGTCAAGAATGGCATCTGGGTTGAAGATTCCCATGCTATTTGCCAACTCAACCTTTTCGTGAGAGAGATATACCTGTTCCTTTCAATAACACAATATATCTGCACAATAGAGTTGGTGGCCAGAGGTGTTCATTTTGAACATGGTATTGGAGATACAAGGTAGGGCCTTTGCTCCAAGACGGTCTGGGTCCATGACTCTGTAAACCCGCACCAAAACCATTGTAAACATCTTGACGCTCCTTCATAACCTGCCAAACTGGTGTGTTGTCAAATATATTCTTCCTTACAACTTCAGAGCGAAAGCTGGCAAGGACTTGGAATGTCAGTTCTGGCTGAGTAGTGTATACTGGCCCATGGCCTGCACTCCAGAAGCAAAGCCAAAGCTTAAAAATATGGTAGATTAGTGACAATGTGTCAACAAAATCACAAAGACTAACTGACTGGAGAGTTGGCTTGAAAGTCAGCCATGGTGCAGACACGCCGCAAACGAGTTACATGGAATGTTATGAACCTCTGATGATCCACAAACAGAAGGGTCTTGTCTGGTTGGACAAAGGCCGCTGCTATAGTAATCATAAGAGGTGGGGCAGAAGGATCTTCAATGGAGAGGTCCTAGAATGAACTCTTTAGGGACTTGCCAGGCATAACCTTTCTGGCCTCTCTGAATGAGTTCCGTGTCAAGTATTGCATGATACTGAGGGGGTGGAAACCAAAAGCAATGACCCTCTGTCCCAAAGCAGACCCAAAAGAGACTCAAGATCTTGATGACATGTCAATGAAGACCCTTCCTTTGCTCAAAATCAACAACAGTCTTGTAAATGTACCAAATGAGTCTATTGTATTGGTTTGTCACACAGTCCAGCATTATGACCTAGAAAAGATATCCCTTGGGATACAATGGGTTGCTGTCTTGGCCACACCTGATGGAACTGCTACTACAGTCAGAGACTTTGAGCATGATCCTGCCAGGGAGCTTTCTCCTGAATGATTCAATGCTTTTTGCACTTTTTTCATTCTAAATAGTAAATGTATGTAACTGTTTGATTGTAATGACCTGTACTTATATTCAATATACTTATACATACTTCCAGTTTTGTTCTTGGATTTAAGTGGATCACTGCGACGAGTAACTGCCACGCGGTAGCGTTGGCCCACATCACAAGTTCTACGCTACTCTATAACTGTATTTATACTGTATACCAACCTGTATACCAACTCGGACCTGACTCGGACACTGACTCGGACTTGGACTCGGAATCTGGTACATTTATATCTGTGAGTAATACCGACTAGCCATACATGAAGCGATCGAAGCTCTGGCGAGTCACGAGCCGACAAAGAAAAGCTCCTAACCAACGCTAACCAGCCCCTGACCAAACTCCACCTTCTTTCTCGCCATGGAATCGTCAGAGGCGGCATCCACAGAGCTCATCATTAGCCTGTGAGTTGCTAACGAATGGATTAGGAAAAATGAACTTATGGCGATTACTACAGCCAAAACGAGCTCGAAGTTCTCCTGGATCAGTAAGCGTTTCTTAAAAGCATCTTTACACAGAAAGACGCGTCCCTTCGCCTTCTAATAAACCTCTTCTAGAGCAAAAGAAAACATGGAGATCATCGAACGCAAAACGACGTGGGATACATATAAGAAATTCGAAAGTCTTTGCGATGATATCCCCCAAAGAGGAGCAATCAGGTGAGTAGTGCTGTTTTCAGACGAATCTCTGGTGGTTTAATTCATGAGTTTGTTTCTAGGATCTCGTATTTCAACGAACATATTTTCATTCAATACATGTGAACCATTAGCCATGAGATTGGACATCGATTGCTCTCTTCGTGTATTTTCAAAGCAATGAGCTTCATCAGTACCACTAATCACAGTGGTCTCACAACTGTGGGCAGTGCCAGTAAGCACTTTTTGAATGTCTCATTTATGTCTCGCTGAAATGATTTTAGCTTACGAGAATGCTCCCCAGTCGACGGCTCTGGAAGGCGACTCAGCTCTTGTAGCCTATCCTCCAGGTGCCAGCAATGAACCTACCATTGTAATCGAATGCGGAGACAACGAATCATATCCGTCATTGCTGCGCAAAGCAGACGCTTGGTTCCTGCGATTTCCTGTGTGTTTGATCAGATTTCTCAACTTCCAATTCCATACTAACACACGGGAAGCAAGTTACCGTAAGTTCGCCGGGCTTACCGTGAACTTACTATAAACTAACGCCGGCCGCAACGTAATTTCACTGTCTTAGCGCTTGTTTATGGTAATTTCACCGTAAATCCGGCGGGCTTACGGTAACTTGCTTCCTGTGACATGAGAATACAGAGGGTCCAAGGCATCATCATTGTCAACATTCACCACGATCAGCTCAAGACTGTTGATATAGAAGTGTGGATCCGTGCTGCAGTTTCTCCTGGAAGAACCTTGTACAACACCGTGACCGTTAATCAACACACAGCGGGGATGGCTTCATGGGCATTCCCATATAATATATTGTTCCCAGACGGCTCGACAATCATCCCACCTCCTTTTAATGCCCTCTTGACAATTCCCGCCACAATCATGGACGAGTGGAGGACATCCTTGTACGCTCACATGTCTTCATATGGTGCAAGGATATGAGGCAAGTAATTTGTAGTACTTTCAAGCAGATAATCGGTACTTTCTCACTATACTTATATATTTCAATTAATTAATTGAAATATGTTTTCTTGCTTACACGCTTGCTCTACCATTAGTTCAGTACTTGGCTCCACTACCGACTGGGTTATTTGTACAAAGGGAAGGGAGATTAGCGAACTCAGTCTTTCTGCCACAGAAGGGCAGAACTCAAAAGATGATGGATAACCGTCAAATATCCGGCGACAGTAGGGCGTCAGTGCAATCACATTGGTAAAGAGAATGGATTCTCAGGCACATGAGATTTAACCGCGAAGAAATCAGTGGAAACGAAGTGTTCTTTGCATTCTTCAAGTTCTCTGTGATAACTCGGATCCTTTTTTTGTTGATGACCTTGTGGTGACCGGAACCTCTTCGTTCAGTCGCTGGTGGGGAAGAGTCATAACCTGGTACTTACCGGCGGTGCAAAACAAAAAGAAACGGTACAAACCGATCATTCTGTTATCTCCCTGGCTGGGAGTCGAACCCAGCTTTCGCGCGCATACCCTGAGCAAATCAGATGTTATGACAGGCGCGTGTACTAACCGATATACTACCAGGGAGTTACTTCAAGGATAATGCTGTCTTAATCGATAGTACTTCACCTGATTGAGTCATTGCAGCTACTGTAATAGAATGAAAATAAACGAGTATGTACATGCACACAAAAGGCTGCTGTCATCTCACTCTTTATTGCCCGAGTAAATAAGTATGTCGTGTCATGCCGTGGAATAATACAAGGTGTTATGCTAGATTCTAGATGCCAATTGCTGGAGGTTATCAGCTGTGAAATGGGAAAACATGCCTCCCCGCCAGCAGCAATGTAGGTGCATTATTTAATGTAATCAATATGAACAACTACAAAGAAAATGAAAGTCGGAAGTGAAACCGTTGGTAACGCGAAGCGAAGAAAAGAAAGAAATCGCAACGGAACGAACGAAGCATTATAAAATGAGTCGAAGGAACGACAATCGTATGCAATAGTGACAAACAGGTCAACAACAAACGACGTATATAGACTGGTCCGTCCGTTCGACCGTCCGTCCATAAACTCTAAGAAACACGCTGTCTCAGTGTCATTATACAAAGAAAGAGTTGTCCTCTCGACCGACTGCGATAAGCTTTCTGAAAACACATCGTTCACCAACCAACACCAGCGTCACCGTCCCAAAGGACTCGCAACACCACCACCACCACCACCCCCACTATTCAAGCTGTTACTACTCTTAATCGCCGTAAACGTCACCCCATTCCCATTCCCATTCCCCGTAGGAGACTTCCCATTCCATTCCCAACAGGAATCGCAGGCGGCTTCCTCCTCTTCGTCTGCGTAGGTGGCGGAGGCGCACTTCGTCTCGTCTGCTGTTGTGGTTGTTGTTGTTGTGGAGATGAAGGCTGGGAGGACGAGGATATAGACAGAGACGAAAGAACCAAAGTGGAATCCAACGCTTCACCGAGTCGGTCACGGTAATCGTGCGGTTGCGTCTGCGTTCGAGGATGACGATCTCGATCTCCTGTACGATCTGCAAACGCACCCTCGATATGCGCCGAATTCGCAGTACCTTGCCGGCGAGGAGCATGGAATCGTGGAGCGCGAGGGTGCTGCTGAAGGAGAATGAGGGGAAGCGGGAGAATGAGAGAATGCAATTGACGTTGGAGAGATAACTCTTTATTGGTGGCGGAGGATGTTGGCCGGGAAGAGCAGCCGACGCGACTCCGTGGAGGCTCATCGAGCTATTGTAGCTCGCATTACTGGCAGTACTCCCTCTCCGAACATTCTCGAATAATGGCGATCGAGGGGACCTCGGCAATTGTTGCCCAAGCATATCCGAATTGGTATCTCCAGGACCAGAACCCGAGACCGAACCACGGTTTTTCTTGAAATTCCATGCTTTTGCTGGGCTTTAGTGATCGTGGTCGGGGAGCATTAGGATTAGGATCGTTGTTGGAGTTGGAGATTGGGATGGAGGATACATTGACTGTGGAGGAAGATGAAACGCCGAGGCCGAGATGGGAGCGAGTCGCGTTGACTTTGTTTATCGTAAAACCATGACCTCCCGCTCCCACTCCCGTGTCGGCTCCACCCCAGCTACTGTCGCTCCCCTTATCATCATCAGCGCCGACAGAATCCTTCCTCGCCTGTGTTTGCTTAGCCTTTAAAGAAACACACCACTCTCCCTGCCAAACACCTCTCGACCAACCTCTTGGTTGTAGGATTAACATCCCTCACACGAGAACTTCGGATGAGGTTCTCAAGCATGTTTAAGATTTGTGGACGTTTATATGGGACTGAGCGGAGTTGGGTTTTGGTTATGAGGGGATGGAGGACTCGGAGGTAAGTATGACGGAGCTAGGAACAAAATATATTGAGAAATGAGAGTTTCTGACGAGAATAGGAAGATACCTACAGATTCACTATCATCATCCAAATCAGCCAACTCCCGCAAAAACACGTCTACCAACACACATAGGTCGTTGGTATAAAAGTATTCTTCCGTTCCTTTGGTTGTGAAGAGGAGGTAGAGCAGTTTTAGGACGAGAAGCTGCATGCAGAGGTCTTCTGGTGTGCGTTCTACAAGAAAGTCAGTTATATGAAGAAAGGTAAGATATATAGACGCACGAGCACGGTTCAACATGAAAATCATGTTCTCTCCAAACGTCTGAGTAGATCCTAACCGGCGCATGAGCACTCTCAGTACTCGGTTCTTGGATTCTGTCGACCGATGTGAGTTTGAGTTTGGAGCCGGAGGTGCACCGGGCTCATCGCCCAAGGACGCCACCATGAATTGTTCGTTGAGCGCCACGATGAGCTTGATGACAGAGTAATTAAACGTGTCATCTTGCATATGCCGCGTTTGCTCCACAAGGTCGAACAGGTAGTCGAGGAAAGCGTCGTCAAAAATTTCTAGCAGAGAATGGATCAATGAATGCGGTCGTTAGTGGAATATTCTGATGAGCGTACTGAGTTCCTGTATAGCCAGCTTCTGTACTCTACACATCTCGTAAAGCAGTCTAACACCTAGGCTTCGGAGTTTAGCCTCAATCGGAACCGGGACATTGGCTCCACTAGATCCACCAGCGACACCGAAATATGTATCCTCGACGTCCGAGTCGATTTCTACCAGAATATGGTCCATAAGAAGCGGTAGAAGCGGTTGCCAGCGTTTGTGCGAGCGAAAAAAGTCTGATTTTCTTCGACCAAAGCTGAGCAGGACATGGAAGCATATCAGTTGGAAATGCGGGTTGGTATTCGATTGAGCTTCAGCTGTCACAATATCGCTCATTCGTTCGGAATGGAAAGCAAAAAGCTCAGAGTCAAGGAGCATGCTGCAGGCATGTTCCAGTTGAAATGGACTTTGAAGATATTGTTCTACAAGTTCCGAGCATGAGTTGAGCTCCAACTTTTGAAATCTATACCAATTCTCACCGTGATATGCGGCGCACAGCGATAATGACCTTCTTAGCGTCAGATCTAGCTGTTCCAAAGTTGGTTCTTTTGAAATCGTCAATATATCTTCAAGTTCTATACAACATCGCTGGTCAGTACAACTATGACTTTTACCCGAATTTAATGGAAGACTAACACACCGGACCAAAATTGCTGAGCATTATCGACGAGATATACGATTCCCAGATCGTCTTCCATGGTAATCGCTGGTAGATTGACGCTTTCTCTGTAGTGGTGCGGCATGATTGTGACGGGGAGGAAGAAGCAATTGGCGCCCAAGTGCACTTAACTAAATTGGAGCAAGAGATGTTTGTATCGAAGATACAGCTGCTCAGGCTTGAAGGCGCTATAGCCAAGTGGTTACGGCGACAGATTAGAAATCTGTTCCTCTTTGAGGGCGCAGGTTCGAATCCTGCTGGCGTCGTTGGGGATATATCTATATATTGGTAGTTTTTTTCTTCAGATTACTAGCTCTAGAAAGTATTTCAACTGGAAGACAATGTGCTTCATCATTTCTCAAGCTAAGAACCTCAGTCATGGTGTGCATCTGAGACTCTGAAGGCGCTATCGCTCTTACTTCCAGCAGTATGAACAAGCACAATCATCATTCTTGATTTCCTACTCTACGCTCTCGTGAAACGAGACAATTCTTGTCAAACCATCACTTGACCATGTCCATCGCACATGCCACCGTCATTCAACCATCATCACTGGGTCTCTTACGTGAGTCCAAACTACAACGAAACCAAGCTCCTACCTAAATTATCTGTACCATTTATTCCCCGAACGACAACCATGAGTCCCATTCTTTCCAAATACTGCAGAGGTCGTATAAATGGTCTGGTCCACTTCTCGTTCGCGGAATCGCAATACCACTGATCGAAGACAGTTCAACTCCAGTTGTCTCTGCAAACTGTGGATGCGGATACCAGCGCGATGAAACCATGCTAACAAAGGCAGCATCGTCGAAATCAGTGCACCACTGAAATCCAGCTTAAGGTTGGAAAGTTTTGGGATGATAGCTGGATCAGATCTTGGTGAGTTCGCTCTGAGCAGAGCTGTGGAGAGTCGAGATGAGATCTGATGTTATGGGACTAATTTTCGGGTAGAGCTTCATGATCGCTGATGTCGAAGAGTTGTTAGAGATGGGAGAAGCTGAAGGGCAGAGACGAGGTCTGTGTCGGAAAGCCCAACTCCATGGATGGAAAATGTGGTCAGTCTGCAGGATGATTCTAGACAGAAAGGCAGCGAACAAGTCTTTGGGCCACTTTCGGTCATAGCGCCTCTGGCATGAATTACTCATGATGCTAAGCTCGTTTAAAGCAGGGAGTGTGAATAGATGATAATGCTGCATCTAGGAGACTTTGTAGATGGTCGGAGTGATCCACCATAACATAGAGAGTGTCGATTATTTTTGAGGTTTTGGGAGGATTCAGGAATGCAAAGAGATGTGGGAACCTCCGAATATGCGGTTTCCCGAAGTTTCAAGTGAACAAGATTCGGACATTTGTCCAGAATTTTGTCCAGTTTGTCATCTTTTGGATGGACCCAAAAGTCAAGGTCAGTGACCTGAGCCCACGGAATCCGGGATGCTAGACAGTCGCCTGCTAAAAGCTTTCGGAGCTTTGGTGTCTTTTGGAAAATGTCCAAGTCTTTGGCGTCGCAAGGAATCAATATTTCCAGATTTTCAAGGTTCGAGAAATTCCGATTGGGGTCGTATTCTAGATAAGCATAGATGAAATGGGTACCGTCATAGCGAAAGCTTTTCCATCGCTAACTGTGTTGCAAGAGAAGGTCCAGCACAGGAGGGCGCTGGTTGTCTGGTCCACCTTGGATATTCAAATCAATCTCAAGAGGATGTTGGTTGGACCGCACGAGGAAAAGATCAACAATAGCAATGAAAGCATTAACTATGCCTTCCCCTGATGCGATCTCTAACTCAAACCTAGACCATAAACTAGGAGATGATTTGGCAACTGAGCGCCATCGAGTGCAAGTAGAACTGAGGGAGAGTGCTGGAATGTAAGTGATGATAGGTGAAGTCAGTTTGGTTGGCCTAAGTTCGCTATCGAGGGTCCACGGGAATTCCTGGAGAAGATTCCACTCGCAGGCGTA